GCGAGCACGTGATGATACGTTGCAACGGGTAGCCGATACACACAAGTTTTATGACGCTCTGCAATACCCATTGATTTATTGCAAAGGACAAGAGGGTTATCATTTTCAAATTCCACTAATTAACCCGGTCACAATGGAGCCTACTCCGAACAAAAAAGTATCATGTATGGATTTTTATGCGTATCATATGATGTTGCAAGAAAATGATTTTAACCTCTTAGCCCGGTGTAGACAATTATTTCATCAATTTTTGGTAAACATGTATATGAAGGTAGAAAGTGAACGTCTCCGTTATATATCTTTAAATCAAAAAAAGCTGCGCGTTGAGAATTATATACATTTATTAGATGCAGTTTTTAGCGACGCCAATGTAAACCCCAGAGATTTAGGTAAAATGGTAATTCTGCCCTCATCATGCGTTAACAGTCCCCGCTACCTACATGTGTACACACAAGACGCATTCGCCTATGTACGAACTTAGGGAAGACCTGATCTTTTTGTTACTTTTACTTGCTATCCCACATGAAAAGAAATAAACCGAGGAGCTAATGCCGGGCCAAAAAAGTACTGACAGACACGATTTAGTTGCTAGAGTATTTAGATTAAAAGTACAAAAATTAATGTATGTAATTAACAAAGGGAAAATTTTCGGAGAGGTGCAGTGCTTCATGTATTCAATTGAATGGCGAAAAAGAGGTTTACCGCATGCCCATATTCTAATATGGCTTAAAGAGAAGTGGGCCCAGCCAAATAGACGACATAATAAGCGCCGAGATTCCGGATCCTGAGCAAGATAAAGAATTGTGTGATACCATCGTCCGAAATATGATTCACGGTCCATGTGGAGCACGAAATTCAATATCGCCATGTATGAAAGAAGGAAAATGTACAAAGAAATTTCCTAAACAGCTATTAAAAGAAACAGTGCACAATGACAATGGCTACCCTTTATACAGACGCAGAGCTCCCGAAGATGGTGGCAGGAAAGTTACAATCAAATCTCGCTCTGGAAAGTTCGAAAACTTTGATAAAAGCTGGATTGTCCCGTATTCGCCCATTCTATGTAAAATGTTTAATGCCCACATTAATGTAGAAGCATGTAGCTCTGTCCGCGCAATAAAGTATATCTGTAAGTACATAAATAAAGGAAGCGACCAAGCAAAATTTAATAATCTCAGGAGTGAAGGTGAGGCAAATCCCGTTAATGAAGTACAGAACTTTCAAGCAGGGCGTTATGTCAGCAGTAACGAGGCAGCGTGGCGTCTCCTTGGCTTCCCTTTACACGAAAGGCACCCAACAGTTACTCACCTTGCTGTGCACTTAGAAAATGGAGAGCGTGTATATTTCACCGAAAGAAATTTCCAAGAAAGAATTGCATCACCGCCTAAAACTACACTAACAGCCTTCTTTCAACTTTGTCAAACCGACCCCTTTGCAAAAACGTTGTTATATTCTGAAGTCCCCCGCTATTATACTTGGAACACATCTAGGAAGGAGTGGAAACGCCGTATTCAAGGCGCGCCTGTTGCAAATTGGCCCGGTGTAAAGTTATCAGATGCCCTTGGTCGTGTGTATACCGTCCATGTAACTAATTTTGAATGTTTCTGTTTACGATTGCTGCTGCACCATGTTCGTGATCCTACAGAATATAAAGACCTTAAAACTGTCAACGGTCAGGAATGCGCAACTTATAGAGAAGCATGTGAAGCTCTGCATCTTTTAAAAAACGATAATCACTTGGATGAAACCATGGAGGAAGCTGTGCAGTGCCAGTCACCAGCCAAAATTAGGAATCTTTATGCAACTGTCATATCATCTTGCGGGCTATCTAATGCACATGAATTGTGGGACAAATATAAAGAGTACATGGCGGAAGATATTTTACGAAGGTTACAGCAGACACACGCGAACATGACATACAATGAACACATTTATAATGAAGCACTTGGAAAAATTGAAGATAAAGTAATGGCAATGGTAGGTAAAAAATTAAGCGACTTTGGAATGATAAGCCCTCAGCGAACAACCGAAAATGAACTAAGTCATGAAGTTATACGTGAAACAAACTACGATATACCAGCTTTGCAGCAGCAAGTAGCCGAATTTGTATCCTGCTTGCTTCCCGAATAAATATGAGTTTTTGACAAAGTATTAGGACAAATTGAATCCGGAAATGGTGCACTTTTCTTTTTAGATGTCCCTGGAGGAACTGGGAACACATTTTTGTTAAATTTATTATTAGCGCAAGTACGGAAAGATAAAAACATTGCTCTGGCTACAGCTACAGCTTCCTCCGGTATAGCCGCCACGCTGCTAAGCGGAGGCCGCACTGCACATTCTGTTTTAAAACTCCCTCTAAATCTAGCCCAGGAAGAATCGCCTATCTGCAACTTTAGGAAAAATAGTGCACAAGGTATAATGCTACGACAATGCAAACTTTTAGTGTGGGACGAAAGTACAATGTCGCATAAAAAAGCTATAGAAGCACTAAATCGAACGCTCCAGGATTTGCGCAGCAATATCGATGTAATGGGAGGAAGGGTGGTTTACTGGCTGGTGACTTTCGCCAAACTTTACCTGTCATTCAAAAGGGCACACCTGCAGATGAAATTAAAGCATGCCTCAAGTCGTCTATTTTATGGAACAAGGTGACAAAATTCAGTTTAACTACGAATATGAGAGTGCATTTGTATAATGATATCAATGCTGGAAACTATGCTGACACACTATTAAAAATTGGCGATGGGCGGTTGGAAACGGATGCTGAGGGCTGCGTTAAATTGACGAGAGATTTTTTTATTTAGTACAGAGTCATTCCGAATTAATTGGGAGCGTTTATTCAGATTTAACGAACAACATGCATGAAGACAAATGGTTATGTGAAAGGGCGATTCTTGCACCAAACAATGAGAGCGTTAACATAATAAATTTAGATATATTAAGCGAAGTAGCAGGAGAAATAACAGAGTATTTGTCAGTAGACACAGTTATGGACACAGAACAGAGCACTTCATATCCCGTAGAGTTTCTAAATTCTCTAGAATTGTCAGGTGTGCCCTCACATAAGCTTCAATTAAAATTAGGCGTCCCAGTGATGCTAATGCGAAATTTAGATGCTCTTCGGTTATGAAACGGGACAAGGCTGCGTGTGACACGTCTTGGATGGAACATAATCGGTGCTACAATTTTGACAGGCGTAGGAAAAGGTGAAAATGTTATTATACCACGGATCCCTATAATTCCCACAGATCTTCCTTTTCAATTCAAAAGGTTGCAGTTCCCTATTAAGCTCAGTTTTACAATGACAATTAATAAAGCGCAAGGGCAAACGTTACAGGTAGCGGGGGTCAACTTAGAAAAACCGTGCTTCTCTCATGGTTAGCTGTATGTAGCATGTTCGCGTGTGTCAAATGCCCAGAATCTCCACATTATTTCCCCGAATTGAAAACATATAACATTGTGTACAGTAGCGTCTTAAAATAGTGTTCGGTTAGATTTTTTTCCAAAATTCTCACAATCAATTAATCAGAATTCCTACAGATCTTCCCTTTCAATTCAAAATTTCCTATTTAGCTGTTTCTTTTCAATTCCAAATGCTACACCTCTGACGGACCTATTAAGCTCAGTTTCCTTTCAACTCCAAAGGCTGCATCTCTGACAGATCTTTTATTTGGCTCAGTTTCCTTTCAATTCAGAAAACTGCATCCCTGACGAATCAATTTAGCTCAGTTTCTTTTCAAAAGTCTGCATCTCTGACGGATAATTATGCTCAGTTTCCTTTAATTAACAAAATATCCCATTTCCATTTGGAATAAACAGGCTATTTTCATGCTTTCCTATACGCTGCGTTTCAAAACATTTAAATAGGCAGACGAATCAATTTTGCTCAGTTTCCTTTTAATGGCTGTATCTCTGACAAATATATAAAACTAAGTTTCCTTACAATTCAAAAAGCAATGGATAGTTCATTTTCCAGTGACCATGCGGGCGAAGCCGCGGGTAACAGCTAGTCGAATGAATAAATCCATGTTCTATAAAGATGAAAAAATGAAGAATATGATGATAACTACAGTGTTTAATTTTAATTTAATAAAAATGTAGCATTTAAATGTGTATTCTACTTTACTTAGTTTAATACCATCGTGAATAAAGTTGACAGTATTTAGGGATTTTTCACTGCTACAGTGCTACAGACTTTGACAGGTTTTTAAACAAAGTAAGAAAGTAAGGCAGGATCTGTATTTTAAAGATGGTCACACTGCGAACGTCCCTATGCTAATGTCACAGTACATTTTCTCTAGTATATATACAGTAATCTATGGTACACAGTACATTTGTATTGTATGTAACTGAAGCTAATGGGTGCGTTTGGCAGAAAAAAGCGCTAGCAAGTGCTTGTAAGCAAAATGGCGATCGTAAGCGGTAAGCGCTGTCAAATCGTAAGTAGCTATTTTCCTCCAGGACACGATGTTAGTTTTAACCGGGGAACCTAACCTAATTTAAATATATGTTTGTAAAGTATTCATATTAAAAACTTACCAATCATGAATTTTTAATAACGTATATGTCTATTCATGTCACTATATTACTTAAAACTAACATTTCACAAAACAACTTATAATTTCTACTTCAAAACAAACAAATTAAATAAGCAAAATGGCGGATTGTGTCAGCGCTACTTGGTAAACTATTTATTAATCTGTGGCGCTACTGAAGTAGCAATCACAGAGTACTTTCTAATATACTGAAAGCAATCGTGTCCTAGCCGAAACTATTTTTTAGCGCTTGTAAGCGCTTGCAAGCGCTTTTTTCTGTCAAACGCACACATTGTCTATTGTCTATTTAGATAAATAAATATGCACATGCTGTAATTGATAATTTTTCAAAAATACTTTTTATTCTTATCAACTTACAAATGTATGTATAGTAAATTTAAAAATACATTGAATGACATTCAACTGATTTACGAAATAAGGTAAAACTTTCACGGATACAGTATTATGACTGAAAACGCGTGTACATCATCACCAATACTAGTAGACAGAAATCCAGCAGAGGATCAGTCACAAAAACAAGATGTTGACATGGATGAAGAGATTTCAGCGCGTATGACTGCTTCTTATAGTGAAATATCTTTTAATTCTGATCATGGCCAAGAAACTAATCAACAAAGAGATTCAGGTCCTTCAAGACCCTATGATTTACCATCTGAAAACCGTAGACAAGATAAACTGCCCCTAGACATTGGCGGACATGTACGGTATGAAGGTGATATGACACATTATGTTGCTGATGATTTGGAATTCAAGATTAAATTATCTAGTCCTATTGCAAAAAGAGGAGAGACTCCAGTATTTGGCAGCTCCAGTGTATCACGCTCCAGCACACCTTCTGGTAAACTTTATAGACAAATATTAGCTCCACAAATAGGTCAAATTGATATTACAGTATTAAATGACCTTGAACATGAGGCACAAAAAATAGCACAGTCCGTTGATAACTTAATAGAAAATTTATCAAATATATTACATGCTAATTCGTCTCTAACTGCTGAAAATATGGATGTTTATAAAGATGCCGTTGGAAAAACTTGTGATGCAATGGATAACAATATAAAAAGTATGTATACTATCTTAGCAAAAGGCGAAGAGGTTTCCCAAGCAATGATTCCAGTGCAGGCACAGGCAGCGAGGATAGCTGAGATTAAGAGGTTGTTGCAAATTTTTGAAAACAACTTTTAATTTATCAATGTAGTCTTGTATTGAAATATATATCACGTGAAATATGTATATAATATTTATTATTTGTAATTTTTTTATGGGTTCTGGGTGGTAGGATTTGGAGTCTGTCTGGATGGGTACCACCATTTCTGCTGCCTAACAGCAGTGATTGCACTACTTTTTATGTTCTGAAGGGTACAAAGAGCTGGTATATATGTATATAAGCTGTGAGGCCTTCTATCTTAGTCCTCAGAGGTCACAAGGCATCTGTAACATTCCTTATTTGAAGTTGGTTGCAGTTGCCCATGAACTGCAGCAGCCATTTAGCATCAGGTGGAATGTAAATGCATTTATTACTTTTGTTTTATTTAAAAAAATACATATCCTCTGCTGTCACACTCAAAATGGATTGGGTCATAATCTTTACAGTTATCTAATATCTTTATAATCTAGGCTTTTCAAATTAATATTTTACTAAATTGATGATCTTAAATGCAACCAAAATGTAAATTATTTTTATCAGAATTACTTAAAGTGGGTGCACAATCACTGCTCTCAATACTTGACTTGCATATCTTTTTTTCTTATAACATCTAAAATTTCTCATGGCAGGGCTTGATTGCAGTTAAGGTGTGAGATTATGCTACTGGTATAACTTATTGATATCACAATTCTTTAAAAGTTGACTGGAAGCGGTTTAAATTCACCGATATCTCACTGGTATAAATTAGCCTTCACATACATGAACAAACATTCATATCAAAAACAGTTATTTTAGACTATACAAATATTTGTTTTGTGTGGCATTCTGTGCCAGCAGGAACGCAGGCTAAGCTAACTTAGCTATTGTCCAACCCAGCTGTAATTAAAAACTAAAATAAGCAATATTTATCTCTTCACACACACTGCAATAACAAGGAAACATCTGAAAGGTGCATGTCTGAAAATAAAAAAAGATTAGAAGATGCAGGGCACAGTGGAAACTTTGTACAGTCGACTCTCGTTAATTCGAAACTCAAGGGACTTAAAATATTACAAATTAACAAGTGTTTGAAATATCAAATGGTCCAAAATTTTTTGAGAGAATATGAATAAAACTTCGAATTATTAAGTGTTGATCAATTATTATTTATTAATGGTTATTTTTTAATAATGACAAAAGAAAGAGGTACATTTGTGTACATATTCATAATGTGAATTATTTAATCTTTCAAAAGAACTCTGTTATACTGGTTTGCTTCAAAGCACATTGCTGCTGCTCAGACTGCTCAATAACTTTTTTAAGAAAAAAAGTGCCTAAAATGCTCTTTCATTACTTTTGTTTTGAATAGACAGAAGCTTTATAAGGTATCAAATGAGGCTCTTGCTTCCTTCACTGACACCTCTGCCAAAGGTTCTGATATATCGTCCTCATCTTCATCATTTGTTTTCTTCATTTACCATTATTGGAAGATTTTTCTTATCTTCTTTTATGAAACTGGATTTTTTGAAGCAGTTGAGAATCGTTAGGGGTGTTAAAGCTCTCAATACCTTGTCAAGCAGTAAAATAGCTGTCAGAACCGTGATATTCACAGTTAGCTGCTTGTGGAGAGATTCTAAAATGAGCTTAACAATTTCATTGCGATAGAACTAATCATATAAAAAAAGGCTCGTGTACGATAATACAAGTTTGAACTTGTCTCAAAATGTACTTACAATCTTTCTGTTTGTTTCTCTCTGCAACTTTGAATTGAGGAGTGTTTGACGCCGATGAGTTTGAATTAACACATCGTTTTGTTACGTAGCAAAGACTTTCGTTCGAATTACCAAGTGCATAAAAATGTTTTGATTTAGTTCGAATTTGTATTATAGAGAGGTTCGAATTATCGCAGGTTTCAATTAACGAGAGTCGACTGTAATTCTATTTACTGTAAACTGGTGGACAATATGTTAAAATCCTCTCAGAAAACGGATTCGGATTAATCCCAGCCGCCAAATTTCATGAACGCACTACGTGACAACCCTCCTGATTCCATTGTGGCCGTGGAAGGAAAAGGGGAGATCTCCCGCCGGGCAAGGTGTTCTGCCCGGGGAGCGGCCAACACTCCGTGTGATAGTTCGGAGATGTTCTATATATACTGTTTATGATTCGGAATGTTGATAGCGTGATTTAGGCTTCGGTGTATTTCGCTTTGTGGCGCGACGACAGCGCCGCCACACCATCTGGATGCTTGGCGGTCCACCACTGTACGTTTCACTAGGAGTTTTCTTCCGCGTACGACCTCTCTGTAGAATAGTTTACCACCGGCGATTTATCCGGACCAATACGACCTAGGGACCTTCAAGAAAAGAGCTTACTCTTTTCTAAAGGGCCACCAACGCACCTGCAGTTCCCCTGGTGTTGCGGTTGTTCATGGGCGACGGTAGTCACGTAACATCAGGTGAACCGCTCTTCTATAAAAAAAAGAAATAAAGAGAAGTCTGTAGTACCCAGCTTTAGAACATACCTATAACCCTGACTTTAAAATGTAATATTATTTAATTATTTGTTGACGTGTATAGTATAGTACACATCATCCAAAAAGAATGCTGGAAGAAAGTAGAGGGGGTATGTTTGCACTTGGGTACTGTAGGAGTTGTCTACATTTTTAGAATATAAAATGAAAATTTAAGATGATACTGATAATAAATGATAAATAAAATGATAACAACTGATTCCCTGGAGTGTTAAGTTCACACTAATTTTATAGAAGTTAAAGCGTTTACAATTTTGCAGTGTTACAATGCTTATGAATTTTACTTAATTTCAATAAGAATGTTCGTGTAGCTCGTACATCTTGCCTCTCAAGTATGAAAAAGAAAACAACTAACTAATCATTAAATAATATCATGACAGCGAGCAAGAGAATTTTTATATTAACAAAGATTTAGTGGTTAAAGCTAGCAAATGAATGATAAATGATACATGTTTACAATGTGATACTTAATATTACAACATAATAAATACAATAATATTATTCTATAGTTCATGTGTTATAGTGCACAGTGCACTCACTTGCTAGGTACCTCAAACTTAATTGAACATAGGAGAGATAGCTTTATCGACACTTAACACTGATTCGCGTATATGTACCGGAACACTATGCACGTGACGCACATTCACCACCACTTCACTAGCACTGCCACTATCCGCTGGGTGTGCAACCTCCCCAGGCCTCCGCTGATCGTGCGACGGACTTAGATTAGAGAACATAGAAGGTCCCGCCGGCGCCGCAGTGCGTTGACCACACCACGCAGTCAGTCGCAGAAACGCAGACACTGCTCACAAGTAATAGTATGCCGGTGATGATATACCCAAGCGCATAGTGGTGTATATTGTGACTGTTCCTTTAGTTCCGCTATTTGCATATTATTGAATAAAACTATTATTTACGGATTTTATCGCGTTTAATTACTTTAATTTATTTTTATTATTATCCCGACGTTTCGGGTGCTTTACAGCACCCATGGTCACGGGGGGGGGGGGACTGAGATGTTTGACGTCCCAATGTCATAGTTAGTCCGGCTACCTTCAGTTTTTTTTAATATTAATTTTTGGTCCGATTTACGCAAAACGAGCTTATAGTATCATGAAGTCTTGCAGTGGTATGCTTGGGTTTGGGTTTAATTTTGTTAATTATAGGATCCCAAGCAGATGGTAGCACCCAGCCATCTTCTCTATTGAAATTAGGATGTTTTTTGATTTCAATAGCCTCGCGTATCATCCTTGGTAGGAATCGGTGTTCTTTTGCGAGAATTTGTGGTTTATCAAATCTAATGTAATGGTGGGGACGATCTTGAACATGTTCGCAGACTGCAGACTTCCCGGAGCGTCGGTGCTTCACATCAGCTATATGTTCCTTCACGCGAGTTTTTATAGATCTCTTTGTTTGACCTATGTAAGAGAGACCACATTCACAATCTAGCTTGTACACACCTGCATCTTGTAGAGGAATATTACATTTGATGGATGGTAAAAATTGACTAATCTTCTTCAGCGGCTTGTAGTATGTCTTAATGGACGCTCGCTTCAAGATGTAGCCAATCTTGTCCGTGACTCCTCTGACATATGGTAGTAGAGCAGGCGCGCGCTCGACTGTGGACGGCTTCACTCGTTCACTGTGACGTAGGCGCGGGACCCGAAGCTTGTTGTCTTGCAATACTTGCTTGACGTGCTGAAGCTCCGTGGTCAGATGTTTTCTGGCACAGATCCCTCGTGCTCTCTGAAACAAAGATTTACCCACGGTAGCTAACTGTGAAGGATGATGGTGAGATTCACCATTTAGATATCGGTTGGTATGGGTCTTTTTCCTATACACAGTTTTATTCAATGTGTAGTATTCGCGTAAATTTAAGAAATCATTATTTGCGTATTATTTAATAATGCATAATATTTTGTTTGTTATCCACCTGCGGAGCAGAGTGAGAGGGCTGAGTGGAGTTAGGATTAGAAAGAGTGGGCATGTTAGTCAAAAATGCCTCGTGTAAAAGTGAATTATGTAGGCCATTGCACTCCTTTCATCTTTTATTAGAAATATACGGATTGTCGTAATGCTTATATAAGCAATTTCTACACACTTTATGTTTCGCAATAGCCTTCAACTTAGCTTCAGGTGACAGCGGTAAAATTCGTACACTGAAAAGAGGTCATGATTATTATAATTCCATATTAGACATTTTCCAGTACGAGTATGATAAGTTTTTTTCTGATCTGTTCCCTCGATAACTTTTCTTAGTCGTAGAAGTTGATGATGATGATGGTAATCGAAAGCTAATAATTGAAATACTCTGTCGTTCATTCTTATGCATTGGTTCTAGAGCGGTGAACTTCCCCTCCAGAAAGCTGATAAATTCACTAAGTTCCGGTAATTCCCGCGGAGCCTTCCGTGCTTCTTTATAATCCTTTAAGGTTTCTGGGTCCAGTTTCTTTGCTAATAGATGGACAAGCAAAGGATCCCAAGTATTTCTGTTAATCCCTAGGCTATGAATAGCGTGAATAAATT